CAGGATACTGTGGGCAGTACTATGAGTCCTGAGAAAGTCTCACTCATGGCCACTTTGCTGTATATGCTTGTTGCACAGGGGCTGATGGAGGTAGCCAGGGCCAGTATGGTGGGGGTGCAAGTTCCTCAGAGGCCACTGCAGAGAGCCCCCACAAAGATCATCTCAAGTGGATGAGCTTTCTGATGCAGTTCCTGCTGCACAAATATAAGTTGAAAGAGCCAATGATCAAAAAGAAATCATAAAGATCATCAACAAGAAGAACCAGAAGCGCTTTCCTGAGGTCCTGCTGAGTCCCTGAGCACATGGAGCCGGTCTTTGGCCTTGAGTTCAAGGAAGCTAACCCAATGTTCCAACCTACCTACCAGAGATAAGGTGGGAATATTATTAAATTGATAGTAAAAGTTTCCCCACGTATACGATGGTGGGAGTTGAGAAGGATTGGAATGTGGGAGTTTAGAAGGCTGAAAGCTCAGCCTCCAGATACTCAAACTGGAATGGAAACTGGCTCTCAGCAGTTATTCTTGGATTATGTGTAAAGCATACAGAAATATCGAGCCATCTTGTCCCAGTACTCCTCAACACATGCAATGGCTAGCTTTTTATGCACCTCATTTCCGGGAAGTTTATAAGAAAGAAAGAGATGCACTCTTAGGTGAGATGTCAAGAAGTCAATGTTTAAGCATTTGTGCCTCAGGCTCGGGGGGGGGGGGACACACTATATTCTACTCCATGAAAAGGATATTGGAATTAAAGAAGATATCTTACCTGTCCATTGGCAAACTCCAAGGGTAAATTTTTGGGAAGGTGGTAATTTGATTTTGGGAATGCAGTAATAACAGACTCCAGGGGGTGGTATTCCTATCTGAAAAGGACCTACTCTCTCTGGTAGTCTGAATTTGCCAGTGTCCTCAAGGGAGAAAGATGGACAATATCCTCTCATGCAATTAAAACCCACAGAAGACCCACTAGAGGGGCAGCTATGAGTTGCTTCTAACTTGACTGCAATGAGTTAGTTGGAAAGCAGCTTAGAGCTGTGATAAATTTAGTAATTCCAAGACTTTTGCATTACATTAAGAGAGTCTGTTAGAATATCACATGGTATATTTTTCCACTAGAAACTGAATTGTATCTGTCTTAAATATACTCTGTAAATCCCTACCCCAGATCTCTTTATAATCCTATTTGGGATTATATTCTTATATTAATAAGTTTTTTAAAAATTATAGTAGTTTACGTACAAAATTCGAATGCATTGTTTTCCAGAACAGATTCTTCCAATTTCTCTCACTCCCCCCAATAAAATTGTATAACTCCATGATTAATCCACCCCCCCTGCACATTCTCATTCCTCTGCTTCCACCCTCTCCCCTTGGATCCTTATATTCATTCTACAATAATGGTTTTATACAGTATTTGTCCTTGTGTGCCTGAGTAAACTCACTCAGTATAATGCTCTCCACTCTGCAAGTCATAATGCAGACATAAAACAGCAGATTTAGTAAGTGATCAAAGTAGTAAACAAAGGTGGGGAGAAGACAGAGCTTGGCATGTGAAATCTTCCAGGACGTAGAAATAGTCTGATAACAAGGTCACGTTCTTGTGAATAGCTCCAAGACATGGAAACAAAGCTTTTCTTTAGACCCAACTTCTAGAATCCAGACTATTGAAAATAATTCAGACTAGATAAAATAAATCCCTGTTTGTTCAAGATTTCTCATTATCCTTTTGCTGTTAGGACAACTTACACTTAACAGTACTACTCTGTTTAGGGTGGCATGAATGTTTCTCCATGAGTACCATGCTAACAGATAGTTGGAGGTTCAAATTCACTGAAGCATGGCAGAAGAAAAGCCTGGCAATCCTTTCTGATAGAGATTTCACTCATGAAAACACTGTAGATGCAGTTTTACTCTATAACACCTGCGGCCACGATGAACTGCAATCAAAGCTCTAAAATGCCTGGGAGGGGGGAGCCATATAATTTCTGAGTGCCCTCAGGAGGGAGGATAGTGACCTAATATGGGACAAAAAGAAGGTTTGATTTTTTTTTTTGTTTTTTTTTTTGTTGTTGTTGTTTTTAATGGCGTAAGGTATGGACGCTAGTTTAAATGGGAGGGCCTAAACCCAAAGTAGACTTTGCCCAGATGCTGAAACCAGATGGTGATCCAGGCAGGAGTCCTCCCTAGGCCCTGGGCGGGAGTAACCATGTGGCATGCCCTCACCTGTGCTTCGGCAACCTTTCTGAGTTGTTTCGCTTTTTTAGAAACTGTGATTCAGGTCTGTGTAGGTAGAAAGCCCAGACTTTGGTAAGTATTAAGGTGAGGACTCCCAGTGAGGACAGAGGGACCACTGACCGCAAAAGAATGGTTTCCATACTATCGTCCCTTCGAGAACCTCCATCCATATTAGCACGCGAAAGCCCGCCTACATCCGCCTTCACCGGAGGTGACGCATGCAAACTTTATCTCCACGGAGCGCAGAAGGCGGGAAGACGTGCTCGCGCTTCCGTGCAGAATCTTCAGCCCCTGAACAGCCGAGGATACGGAACGCCAGGACTGCTCTGGAGCCCAGGTGAGGACCCAAGTGGACAGAGGGGACTGTCTAACCCACAACTGTGTAGGGTGCAGCAGGGTCCCGGCCCCCCTCCAGGCTCAGATCTACTTGATCAAATTCAGCCTGAAAAGTCTCGAGGAAGGTATTACCATGGTGTAAAGGCCGGCCGGCGCAGCCCATGTGGGAAGGGGGTGGTGACCTAGACTCTTATTTAAGACCAGATGGTTAGCCTTAGAGCAAATGTGGAGCCCTTGTTGCCTAAAACTGACGAGTTAAGGTGCCACCTTTGTTCTCCGTTTTAGGAATCCCCCCACCCCATGTGCGCGCGCACGCACACACCCCCACACACACCCCAGACAGGTATCCCAATGTCCAGTATCCTGAATATGCTAGCAAGGTGGAGGTCTGGGTCTGTGCCAGGACCCCCATCCCCATCCCCGCCACATACACGGGCGCGCGCACGCGTGCACACCCCCCCCCCAGACAGGTATCCCAGTGTCCAGTATCCTGAATATGCTAGCAAGGTAGAGGTCTGG